GTCCCGACAACTTGACCCCCGTGACGTCGTCCCCGTCTGAATCATCAAGGCCATTTTCAATCCTCATTGGCCTGGGCATCACGTGGGGGGGTGGAGGGGGGGAGAGCGATGCGTGGATAATTATGGTGCTTGATATTTTTTCCCCCTAAAAAAAAGATGTCAGCCCCTGGCTGGAGTATTCCTCCTTAAAAACCCTCTCTGAAAATGTCATGTCCCAACAATGTGACTTCTAACTCGTTTTTGATGGACTCGTTGGCCGGTACCTGTAGAGGGGAGAATTATTCCTCCAGCCAAGGGATGTACATGCAGCCTGGGAGCGATTTCAGCTGCGGAGTCATGAGGAACTGTGGAATCATCCCGTCTCTTTCCAAAAGGGACGAGGTGAATAGCGCTACCTTGTCTCTCAGCACCTATCCATCTTACCTTTCTCAGCTAGACACTTGGTGTGACCCCAAAAATACGTACAGGATCGAGCAACCTGTTGCAAGACAGCTCCCATCCTGCTCCTTCCCAACCAATGTCAAGGAAGAGAATGTTTGCTGTATGTATAACGCTGATAAAAGAGCAAAAAATGCCACAGAGACAGCCCTCTACCCCAACCAAATGCCTGAGTCTTGCCTAAATGACCATGAAGTCCCCGTTCCTAGCTACTACCGAGCAAGCCAAGGTTACCCCTCCATGGAGAAGACGTCAAACTGCAGCAATCCAAATGAGTTTGAGGCAAGTTTTGAATCCAGGGCGAGCCTGAACCCAAGGAATGAGCATCTGGAACCAGCACCGCCACCTCCGCCGCCGCCCCCGGTGGCTAAAGTGAGTTTCCCCGAAAACACAAAAACAGATAATACTCAGAACACATCCACGAACGAAATTAAAACAGAAAAAAGCGCCCCAGCACCCAAAATAAGTCCTTCGGAAGCAGAGAAAGACCCGAATAAAAACACTGACACCAGCACTGACAATTCTGACAATGAAGCAAAAGGTAAGGGAATCATTCATTACCAGTAGCTAATTTCAGCAATTAGTAATCATCCATAGCTAATAAGAGCAAAGGTAATGCGAATGTGCAGTAATGTGCTCTCTACCCTGCCAACTTCTCCTCCAGAAATTGGCACAATAATGTTCGGTATCGTTGCCGTCTTTTGGGAAAAAATATTCTTCCTAGAAATGTTGGTTGTTTTGCTGGTTGGTTTTGGTTTTGGTTTGGTGTTTTGTTTTTTTTTTTTAATATATATGTTAGAGCTGAGAAAAAGGAGCAGAGAGCTGTTTGAGAACTCGTCCTCTCGCTGTTTCTGTGGAGAAAATGTGCAGTGCATGTGCTTATGCAAAAAAAAAAATGTTGGTCCTTGCAATCACCGCTGCAGAATGCAATAAGGCGCGGGGGCTTTGCTCTGAAATCGCGGAGACTTGGGGTTTGTTTGTTTGGGGAGGGTTGTTTTAGGGGGGGGGTCGTGTTTTTTAAGGCGGATGAACCCTGATTTTTGTTGTTCCCCTTCCTATCGCTTCCTCTGCGAACGCTTTATTTCCGTGTGCTAAGCGAATTTGTCTTCTTTGGCTTTGCTCGGTGTTGAAGTGGGGTAAAAAATTAAACTGCGTAGAGTCTGATTTGCAGTTACAAACGTCTCAGGCTGGAGTTGTGCACTGTGCCTCATTTCATGGCTTGGAAGCTCGTTGGGAGACTCAGAGAGGAAAAAGCTTCTTTCTTTTTTTTTTTTTCTTTCTTTTTTTTTTTTTTTTTCCTTTCCTGGCGAATTGAGGTCTTGTTTGCGAAGGCAAAAAAATGTTTCTGTGTGTTGAGCAGATGTTTTAAGTCTGGGATTGTCTGAAAAGAGGCTTTCATTGAACACATTTTATTTTCACTGTAGAGACTGCATACGCCTTGAAACCTATGTGTACGTGAATATTCGGGTTTGTTTCTCTCCTAATTCGAAGCTGGGAGGATTCAGAGGCTCCTTTCAGGTCAATAAGTGGGGAATCATGTGAAGGGAGGGATTGAATTTCCCGAAAAAGTTGGAGCGAAATTGCCTTGGTAGAAAATACCGCCCAGCTCGGAGCAGCGGGTTGCATGGGTTGCCTGTGGTATGCGGATTAAAATATCCGCCGTGTGTCAGGATCTGTGCTATAATTAGGGCTCCAGCGGCAAGAAGGATGGCTGGGGTACGTGGCGTCGTATGTGCATGCAGGGCTCCACGCGTGTGGGTCGTGTGTGGACCCCCCATGCACACACGCCTCGCGTCCGTGGCACCAGCAAAACCCATCCTCTGGCGTTTCCCCCTCCGAAATTGGCCTTTTTAAAAGCGGAACCCAGAAACGCTTCTTTTTTATTATTATGTTTCCCTTTTTTTTTTTTTTTTTCCCCCCCCTTTTTTTTTTTTTTTTTACCATTCCGCACCCACAGGGAAATGATATTATCTGGCAGTTGACTTACAATTACGCGCGCACACACACAAAAAAAAGCAAAGTCAAGGTTATCAAAACCCCTGCAAACTTATCCGCACAAAGCGCCTTCAACGTCCACGCCAGGAGAGGTTTTGGTGGGATTTAACCCGAAAGAAAGATCATGTTGGGGTGGATTTGTAATTGGGGCGGAAATAAAGAAGGAAATAAATACAGATAAAGGCTTTCTTGCGCTTCAGATGTTAAATTTAAAATGGGTGCGTGGAGAAAGACGTGGTTTCCCAGATTTTTTTCGCGTTTCAAAAGGCATTTCGTGGTGTTCGCGGTGTTTTCAAAGGGTCAGAGCCACTTTGGGGCGGATTTTGTTTGCTGCTGTTTCTGTCGCTTCCTTTTAAAATCTCTTATAGCTTCGGTTTTCGTTTATGTTGAACCCGAATTTTTATTCGGGCGGAAGGTAAGAGACCTTTCTCGCGTGCTTCGAGCATTTCGGGGGGTGGGGTGGGGGGGTGATAGTGTTTCCAAGGGGATTTCCAGGGCTTGGTGGCGTTAAAGGGTCTCCGCAAACGCCAAAGTGGGTCCATGTCACACCAGCGAATTTTGAAGGTGCCTTTGGCTAAATCCAGTTGGTCGGTTGGGGTTTTTGGTTTGTTTTTTTTTTTCCCCCCTTTGGATTTCACGAATGCGGTGCCGAGGAGGTTGCTGCAACGGCGGGATCCGCTTTTTCTTGCGGTTTGGGCAGGAATATCGGCCGGCCGGCCGGCCGGTGCCAGGATTTTCTCCTGACCAAATTCAAAGCCCAAGGATTTGCCGTGTTTATTTAGGGACGTGCGAAAGGCGTTTGCCTTTGCGAAGTGTACGTGCGCGCATCTACGCGAGTGTGCAGAGTGGGGAGAGCGCACGTGGGACTGCAGTCACCTCCGAATTTACCTACATGTGCCCCCCGCAGCTCGTAAAGGCAAACCTATTTCACACAACCCCGGCTCACGACAAATACACTTGACGGCGAGGCTGCTCGGGGGATCTCCAGGAGGAGCGAAAACAGATTTCTTCCCCCCAAAATAACACGCCCCGAGGCAAATATTTCAGCCTCTGCGGATCGTTTTGAAGCCCAGATAAATTATTTGGGGAGGGGGGGGCGGTGGTGGTAAAGGGTGGCTCGGGGAAGCCCCAAGAGCTGCGGAGGACTCCGAAAGTCACATTGCTGACCCCAGATTAATCGCAATGAGCGGGATTTTAAGCCCCTCCATCCAGCCTAGTGAAGCCAGAATAAGTTCATACCGTGAGATTCTCCAGCCCCCGATTTTTTTTTTTTTTTTTTTTTTTTTTTTTTTTTTTTTTTTTTTTTTTTTTTTTTTTTTTT